TGGTAAACACTCTTCTGACGGCTTGCTAGATTTAGCAGCGTCTGGTCGTTTTTCCCTACCATAAGGGATCATGAAATACAATATAGAAAAAAAAAAAGAAAAATTACAATGAAATGTATCATTGCCAAGTTTTGATTTGATAATTTCGAATACACTTATTTTGCACTAAGTCACGAAACGTCAGAAAATCTGATCTTCTACTCAATGGGATATCACAAATATATTATTTATTTATAATTACAATGAACGTTTCGGTTCCTCGTACGCACGTAAAAACACAAAGCGGACGAAAAAATGGAAAACAAGTGCATTTCGTGCTACTTTGGACAGCATCAGAGCGACTCTCTGAACTCGGCTTTCACCATGAAGCGTCATAATTCTTCTAAATGAAGAACTTCTAACTCCCAGGGCAGAGTTGAAATGGTTTGAATTATTTTTTCTGGTAAGCGTTGTTTTAGCGAGTTATTTTTCTTCGAGGTGAGGACGCTAACCCCATGCCCAAACCTCCGCCTTTACACGGGCTTGGGACCGGCAGTAACTCTAAAAGAGCTACTAGCAGAGTTTTTTTAAAATAAAAATATAAAAGTATAAGCATATTAAAATTGTTTTCTTTAATATTACATATAGTACAAAGAAAAATCGAGATGGTATAAAATGTCGACTAGTATCTTACGTGTAATAATCTTTCAAATGTTCTGGAAGTTTTACTCATCTTCCAGAAAGCGTTGTTTTAAGTTTGTTTTCTGATATTGCCGAAGTATCGTCGTTTATGTTGGCTCTCGGTTGAGGTATTATAAATGTGGGAGTCGTGTAGTGCAATTGTACCGAAGAAAAATCCACGTGAATAGGATTCCCTTCTAAATATGCTGCTTTGAGGCGATCGATGCTGTTGATATCGTTGGTCCCGTTCTTATCGACTATATAGTACTTAGACTTAGTGTTGGACAACTTTGAAGGGTCCTTCGCATGCTGATTCGAGAGGTCATCGATGTGAGTCTAGACGAACGAAGACGTGTGTACCATCTCGCAAGTCAGGTTGAATGAAAACATACGTTTATTGGGGTAAAGTGGAAACAGGTTCAACTGAACGCATTGCGTTTGTAAGCCTGTTCGTGTAGGAGGTTAGATCCATATTCATTGAAGATGAAGTATCCGAGAATTCTCCTGGAAGTCGAAATGTCGTTCCATAAACGATTTGATCCACAGTGCACCCAATGACAGCTTTCACTGCATTGCGAATACCTTGTAAGACGAGTAGGAGAGCGTCAGTCCATTGACAATTGCTTGCAGCTGATAATGAAGCTTTTAGTTGTCGGTGAAAGCGCTCTACTAACCCGTTTTCTTGTGGGTGGTAGGTGGTCTTTTGGAAACTAGTGGTTTCTAAAAGTGTGATCAGACTGTAGTGTTGGTCATTAGTTTTATCCCATAATATATCTTATTCTAGTTTTCGGACATTTCATTCTATTCATTCTACTTGAGTCATATGTTGACCCTGTCAATTATTTGCTTGTCAGTCTTGATTGTTTTTATATGAGCATATGTGTGTACACATCACATCCCATGACTCATTGCATGTCTGTAGCTTAATTTTGTCTGACTATAAATATTGAGTAACACTCGACTAAAAATGAGTTTGCTTACCAGCCATCTCCACTCTGCGTCGCTTCTCTTCCTTTTATTCCACTCACCTCATAAAAAATATATATGTATTCAAAATCCTATTCTCGTTATTTGACTTATTTAATTCCGTTATTGGCTAACGTGATTTAAGTCGGCGATTATATACGAGAATAGGCGATAACAAACATTCATACGACTTAATTGGAGTCAGATCCACAGGCCACAAAAAGACAACGGAAAAGTTCAGCTTTGAACTGACTTCCACGGTCTTTAGTGATAGTTGAAGTGCAGCCGAAGTTTGCTGCCCATCGTTCGACGAAGGCGCGAGCCACTTTTTCAACAGTGATGTTCTTGATAGGTACTGCTTCTGGCCATCGAGTGAAACGGTCTACGCAGGTTAAGAGGTAAGAGTATCCATTTGAATCTGGTAGAGGTCCTACCAAGTCCAGATGAGCGCCGAGAGTTTTGAAAGAGCCTAAGGGACATTTATTGTGTCTGATAACCTTAGATTTTTGGCAGCTTACACAGGAGCGTGACCGCTCCCTCACGTCTTTATTCATACCAGGCCACCAAAACCGTTCTGCTATCAGCTTGATGGTTGCACGAACACCTGGATGAGAAAGTTTGTGCAATGTGTTGAAGACATTGCGTCGATAATGTTTCGGCACGATTGGGCGATCCTAACCTGTAGATGTGTCACAAGGTAAGGTTTCCTTACCCGCTCCCATCTGTCTGATGCGTAGTTTAAGGGTTGTAGACGATAACTCGTGCTGAAGATCATAGTATTCTTTTTGAAGTTCGGCTAATGGGTGCTCGGGTGTCTTGATGTGCAAGCATTGTTGCTTTAGCGATAATTTCCTTAATTGTGGAGAATGCTTTTCGTGCTATGTCGTCCAGACTGATGGATTTCGCATTTGCACGAAGATGGTCGGTAAGAGGCTTTATAAATAATGCGCATTTCGGTATGAACCGTCCACTGAAACCTACAAGGCCTTTAAACGTTCGTAGTCGCTTGATGGTTGTCGGTCCTGGGTAATCCAGAATGGCCGCCACTTTGGTTCTAAGGGGTCGAATGCCTTAAGCATCTATGGTGTCCTAGGAAGTCTAATGAGCCAGTTCCGATTTGGCATTTCTGAATGTTTACAGTAATGTCATGTTTTTGCAGTCATTCGAAAACAAGATCCAGATTCTGGGGATGCGATCCCCTCCAGACTTGCTATTAGGCAGTCGTCAACATGCGCATGTACGAAGTTGAGATCTCGGAAAACGTCGTCTTTGAATCTTTGGAATGATTGAGCAGCGTTTCTTAGATTGAAAGGCATTCGCAAAAATTCATAGAGTCCGAAGGGGGTAATGATGGTGGTCTCGGTATGTCGTCAGTGGCCATGGGAATTCGGTTATACGCTTTAATCAAGTTGATTTTCGAAAAAACAGTTGTACCTTTCAAGGTAGCTGTCAAATCGAGAATGTTAGGCAATGGGTAACGATCGGGAATGGTTTTCACATTCAATCGCCGATAGTCACCAGTTGGACGCCAATCGTTGCTGTCCTTTTTAGGGACCATGTGCAACGGAGATGCATACGGGCTATTTGACGGTCGTATGATTCCTAAGTCTATCATGTGGTCGAACTCGTTTTTCGCTAACCTAAGCTTTTCAGGAACTAGTCATCGTGCTTTAGAGAATACAGTTGGTCCTGTAGTCATGATGTGATGTGTAACGTTGCTGGTTATACACGGCAATTTTGGTTGCGTTTGATGAATCCCAGAATACTTATCGAGTGATGGTTGATAGAATGAGTCTACTAGCCTCCGTTTATGCGTATCGATGATTAAATTGTGGTGCTGTAGTAGGTCCATACCAATGATTGGCATGGAAACATCTGCAACAACGGAGATCCAGTGAATAGTTTTGCTTAAACCCACGTTAAGCTAAACGTACCTTTTACCGTATGTGGCAATAGGCTTTTGGTTTGCCCCCTGTAAGTTTAAAACTGATTCGCGAAGCCGGTCGTTAGAATTCGTTGGAAGAACGCTAACTTATGCTCCAGTATCTACGAGGTAGCGAACTATCGTTATCAAATCTGTGACGGATAACAGACGTTTATGTTAGCCGGCTACGGTTGCCGTTAACGCTTGTCGTCTTGGAAGTTTCCCGAAATGTTTTCGTGTCGGTCCATTTTGAGTTGGGAAAATTGCAGGATTTTCTGCAACTTCTGGAGGACTTTCCATGCTGGTCAGGATACCAGCACCAGTCGGAGTTACCCGTATGCCGTGGTCTAGAAACAGATTGCGTACGTAAAGTGCTTCTTTGTGAGGTGTGTGGCCGTTTACGGTCGTTATGAAATTTAAGATAACGATTAAATGTATGACATAACTCTGTAATGTCACTCTGGGTCGTTTAGGGCTTTTCTTTGACTGAAAAAACCTCGGCATTAGATTTCGTGGTTTCTGAAATGCGGTCTGCAGATGCAACTAGCTCGTCTAAGGCGTTGTTTTGAAACTAGACCAGCACAGTTTGCACCTGTTGAGGAAGTTTGGAGAAGAAATGTTGTTTGAATAGGCCATCATCGAGGGTTCTTTGGCCGATAACCTCTCATTCTTTGCAACATATCTGTCGCAGAACCGTGTTGCAGGTCGACTACTGCGAGGAATTGTGCACGTGTATCGTTCACACCACGCTTGTAGAAGTCGGTTTCGATAATGTCTGGCCAGAAGGACATTAGCTGGAACGAAGGTGGGGACATAGTCTTCAGCTCAAATACCTTGGGTGTCTGTTCCGTCGTGGTGTAATATCAAGTACGAGAATGAACGAGTGAAAAAAATATATATCAAAAACACGGAAAAAAGATATCACAAAATATAAAAAAATATTATAAGGCAATAATATGCAGAGTCCCAAAAACGAACAGACCCACACTTTACAATTTGGTGTACCTGATCACGTTAGGCTCACCAATGAAGATGCCACAGGTATTCACAGTTTGACAACACTTTAACCAGTAACACCTTCTATATGAAGCGTACCCACCAAGTGAAACCAAAAGGCAGGAGCGAGGAGGTTGGAATATATATTTGATAGGCTATCAATATATCGAGTATCGTATGATCAAATCTGGCTAGCGATTGCACGGGTTGTTGAGCACGGCATTACCACTCGTGATCTGGTGCGGATGCATGACCGAGCGCCTCCAGCTAGGTGAGTCCATTAAAACTAATGTGGTCAGCATGCAATATCGAAAACTTGCAGAGCTGTTTATTTTGGGGATTTATTTACCCCTACATTATTATTGGTCAAGACAAACACAACTATCCATATTATACTTAGAAAACTTGGTGCAATCACCTCAGAGTTGTTTATTACGGGATTTTTCACCATATCGGAAGATTCTTCTGTTCCGTCCATAACCATTTGACCAACGTTCTGTCGTTGCTCATCAAGGATAACGTCCTACCTTGAAGGATTGTACGTAGTCCACGCAACTTAGTTAATGAATGACCTTGGGTATTTTCAGAATGACACAAACAGCCTCCAAACCTTTTCTGATTGGTATTAGTGGAGGAGCCGCTTCAGGAAAAGTAATTTTAAGTTCAACAAACAATGCTTGTAGGCAGAGGCATGCAAGAAGATAAAAGATGTCTTATACAGAAAGGCAAAAGGGAAGAAAGTTGAAGTTCTTTCCTTGTCATCGTTTTATCGTGAACTTTCCGATGAGGAACTCAAATTAGCCCTGAATAGTGAGTTTGACTTCGACCACCCAAGTGAGTTCTTCATTATTGGTTTATCTTTATATGTAATTCAAATTTGTGTAGTAATAACTACTACTCCCATTTCTTCGACTTTATTTCCCATTTATTGGTTGCCTGGGAAGGACAAAAGGCCTACGGCTTATGTTATTCCTTGTCTAGTATGCTTCTGTGAGTGTCCAGTCTTCTTTGAAAGAGTCAATTGACAGTGCGGACATCACTGCTTCGGGCAGCAGGTTCCAAGTATTGATGACTCGATGTGAATACGTGTGTGCCACTGGTAGTTTGTCAGTCCAACTAATATCAGGTGCATTAAAGTCTCCTGTTATCAAGCATCTGGTATTTGCACTCCAAAGATGAATGTGCTCTAAAATAAAGTCATCAGCTAAGCTAATCGGGCTGCGATAGTTGACATCGAGCATAAATGTACTACATCCGATAGCCGATTTACAGCTAATGACTTTACAAGTACCGCTATCATGCGATTCGCTAGCAGAGAAGCGGATATTCATATTATTGGCTATATATAACAGGACGCCACCTCCTTTTCTACATCTATGTCTATCACTCCTGAGGTAATGGTATCCGAATAATTCTGGTGTAATGTCTAAGTCATGGACTAACCAAGTTTCTGTCACTGCTACGATGAATGGCTTTAATCTGTCCACTAATGCTTTTAGTTCATAGGACTTTTTTCTTAGACTACGATAATTGGTATACAAAATTCCTAAGTAGAACGGCCAAGTGCATTTCATATTTTCTTTGAGCTTCCCGAATTTTTGTTATACACTTGTTTCTTACCGATCTGTAGCGTTCCATCGTACCTGCTGTGCCAAGGCGGATGGGAACGTCCCAACATTTCTTCTTTTGTCTCAGTAAACGTCGAATATCCCGGCCTATCTAGGGATGGCCATGCTTCTTCTTCTTTGGAACTGTCCAGGGGGTATGTATGGTTGAGTTACCCGATTGTATAACTGCCTGAAAAGGGTCCATGCCTTTTGTGCTGATGCCCTTGGATCAATTTCCCAGTCTTCAGCCGATGCTGCGGAGTTGATTTTCTCCATATCTGCCTTCCATTTATTAGGACGGGCCGACGCAACTGTTTGACAGACAATCTCAGCCATGAATTTGAATAATATGACTGTATGGTCACTTCTCCCTAGTGATGGGAGGAAATTCATTTGACCAACGTTATCACCGTGTGTGGAGACTAAATATAAAAGAGAAGAAGAGTTTCTTAAGTCATATCTTGTGGGGTTTCTAATGTGTTGGAATAAAGCTAATCCAATCGAGGTTTCTAACAGTTTGCAATCGAACGACGTTATCGATGACCCTACGTCTAAGTTAACCCAGTTTATATACGGTGCATTAAAGTCGCCTACTACAAGGCTTTTACCGTTGTTACACCAGGACTTAGGATAAAATCATCTGCTACACATTTTGGACTGCGATATATCGCACCAGTCCACATGCCCCTGGAACGTGTGCCACTGTCTCAACTACTCTTATGGTTAGGGTACTTTTCGTGTACAGGATAACCCCGCCTTTCCTACGGTTTAATCTATCAGCCCTATTGCTTAAAAAACCAGTCAACTGAATTTAATTTTCTAATACTTTTGACGTTAACCAAGTTTCTGAGACAGCAATAACATCCGGTTTTTCTTTATCCATCATTGACTTGAGCTCCGCCATTTTATTTAGTAGGCTGCGAGTATTTGTGTAGCATACCTTTAAGTCTGTGGAGAACTTTCCCTTACCACCCAGAGTGGTTTGGGGATCGTTTGGCTCATAACCTTTACAATTTGAAAACCCTTAGGAACAAGGTTTCTTTCACCGTTTCGGCGACGCTCATTTATTTCCACTTCTGCAGCTCGTCTCTTGATACGATCAGCTAGGCTGAGATCCTCACGGACGTATATTCCGGATCCAATCAGTTTACTTGAGTTACCTAGAATCAGGTTCCTTTCTTCAACCGTGGCAAATGTAATATTCAAGAGGCGGTTTTTCTGAGGACTTTCAGAATCCACCTTTTGTCCTATTCTATAAAGCTTATAAATACTAACTTCTGAAACTATCCGGAAGTAGTTTGCTTATTAAGGACTTAATATGACTGAGATCGTGTTCGAATCTAGCCTTTGGTTCCTTATCGGAAGATTCTTTTAACTTATGGAAAATGACTGACCTCTCAGAGAGGCTTGTCTTAATAAGCAGTGGTTTTTGTTTCTGATACTATCTCTTCCAATGACTTGCTAACCACCTGCGTACTGCCTACAGCTTTTTTCTTCTCATTTTTTCTCCGTACTGAAGTCCATTTATCATCACTCAGGACAGTCACACCGGGACTATTTAGAACGGTGACAGTCTTATCTGGGTCTTCAATTTCCACTAGAGGTATATGATTACCGGTGTCAATATCAAGCGACACTCTACTCCTCGTTACTATTAACGGGGATTTCACTTTCCCATCAATCACAGTCGGGTGTTTAGCGGGTCTGGTAGCCACACGTACTACACTGACACGTTCTTCACCGTCAGTGCTCGTGTTATCAGCGCAACCACCATCGTTTTTCTTACAGGCCAAACCCAATAGGCTCATAGACTCTTGAATTAGTAACTTCTTATTTGTACAGCAAAACATACAAAGCCAATGCGAGTTAGGCTTCACGCATCTTTTGTATGCCGTAAGACTTAGACGTGTACACATTTCGTACCACTTTTTACATTCATCGCACTGCATTCCTTCCCCAACGGGGAGCAAGTAGTTTGGTTGTCCACATTTATAAGTCCTACTAACCATTGTAATTTGATTCAAAAGTTTTAAAACACAATATGATCACAATGTGAACACGAGTGTCAATCAATGAGTAAAAAAAGGTACCACATGACAATGTTTAGCAAAAATTTCAAACCTTAACCAAAGTACTTTTAGTTAGAGTAGATCAATAATGCTTTTCGGTGCAACAAATACACAAAGCAAGGATAATCATGACAAGTACAAAAATCACTGCCCTTTTTGTAACGAGCGCTCAGTTCCAGCATGAGAACCGCCTCAGAGTAGCGTCGAACCACCTACCTTTAGGTTAACAGTCGAACGCGCTAACTGGTTGTGCCACGAAGTCGTAACACAGTTAATAGTTCGGAAATTAGATGTTGTTAGTTATGAGTTTAACTTTGAGCTTTTAGAGTAATTTATTCATAAAACTCACTTTGGAAAGTTAAATGCAGCTCATACTGGGTTTCATTGCATTATTTAGATATTGAAAATTCGTTATAATCGATGCCTTAATGTTTCACAGTTGTCTGAGTTATATGTTTAGATCATTATTCTTTGGATCTCCAGGATTCTGTTATAACCTACATTAATGTTAGCCCAGGAGGTTTTGGACGTTTTTTATTTCTTGTTTCCGATCCGCCTTATTGTACAAAATCTCTAATAATAATGGTTTCAGTGCCTTTCAACAATATCTTGTTTATTAATCATAACCGATTGCTTGGAAGTTTGTAGTTACATTGAAAGCTTTTTGCCAGGTTTATAAGTGAAGTCGATTGTGTGTAACATAACTTGCTGAGTTGTTTTTTCCACAGGGTATCTGCTTGGGTGCCCACTGCTAAATATTAAATCTAGTGGCTCCATTTAAATATAAATGTGTGTATAATCATGGAGGTAGTTGACAATATTATAGAATTTCTAGATGCTTTATATTCGCACGATTTTCTTGATTTAGTCTTATTTGAGTTTCTATTACATATTTTTAGATTCGTTCGACTTCAAATATTTGGCTGACGTTTTAAGGAAAATAAAACAAGGAGAACATGTGGTCCTTCACAAATATGACTGCTCTGCTTATTCGAGGTACAGAATCAACTTTTTAATTTCTAGTCTTTAGTACCCCGGATGTTCAGGAGGTCCCAGATGATGTAGATGTTGTCATCGTAGAAGGAATTTTGACGTTTTATCAAAAAGAAGTCAGAGACATGTTCGACCTAAAAATCTTCATTGAATCAGATGCAGACACTAGACTTTGCAGAAAAGGTATTTTTAAGAAAAGATAACAAAATGTAAATTTTTTGTAGTCCTAAGAGATGTTTCTATGAAAGGTCGTTGCTTGGATTCCGTACTCGATAGTTACTTTAAATACGTTAAACCGGCATTCGAGGAGTTTTGTCTTCCCGTGAGTATATTTTCAAAGTCAAGTTTTCATAGTAATAGTAAGAATAATAATAAATACTATTGCCATTGCTGCACTGTACGTTTTTATTACTGTAATTTCTGATTTTACTGAGTCTTCTAGTACTGATCACGTTCTGTCGATCATGCTAGGTTCTGAGTTTCTTCACGACTACTGCAAACAGCCTAACATTATTGCTGCACCATTTTATAGGTGATGCTTTATTCTACTAATGATATTATTGCCTTATTCCCCTAAACAGTGTAATCGTGATCAGTCATATGTTACCACTTAAATTTCTGTTCGGAAGATTTAAGTTTTACAACACTCGTAAAATGACAACTATGTATTTATGTTACTCATGATGAGCCAACGATATAAGCACTGATTAATTCGTGCTCCAAAACAGTGCTAAACTGATTTCAAATAAATACTGAGGTAATTTTCTAACTACTTGTGTCATCCACCTATATTTCACCCCTGCTACTTTGCAGTGCTTACATTCAAGACTGGATTAGTAATTCCAAATGTTTTTTTACTTATTCTTCGAAAAGATACTACTTGTACTGCAGTCCTGTCAAACTGACATAAGGCATATACTTTCTCCGCCGTTCGTTTTATTTAGTGTTTTCAGTGTGTTTTACTACCTCGTGCGAGCAAAGTTGAATTGTGAATGTGTATCCTTTATTATACTGAATGTGGTTCGGATGTAGGTCACAATACTGCGTGGGCACTGACATTGAATCAAATGATTCCTTGGTGGGGTTTGAACTTACTGTCTAGTGCTTTAACTGAAAATCTTCTGTCAGCGTAGCTATTGATCGAGAGTATTAACCTTTATCTGGCTGTTAAATCACATGCTTTCATTGTTAATGAATCAATGTTTACTATGTGACACTTATCTTTATTTTCTCTTACTGTTTAAATTACTATTTAGACTAAAAAATATGCCGATGTCATCCTACCACGTGCACCAGACAATCATGTTGGCGTCGATTTAATTACGGAACACTTGTTACAACTTGTAAATGATTCACCTCTGATTCATAATGTTCAACATTATATACCACGTGCAAGAAACCAATCAGAATCTTGTGTAGGTTCTTTCAGACCTCATTAATCACCTAGTGATAATGGTACTAACTTTATTTGTATATATTATCTGGTTTATTGAATTAGAATGTTATTATTTTGATATTTTCAATTGAACTTCATATTCTTTCTTCATCTCCTTACTTTTCATCTACTTGTTTTTAATTATTTTAAAAAAAATTTGTTTAAGTTATCAAAAAAAAATGATTTATTATTTATAAAGTGCTTACATTTATCAACTTGGAAATTGTTTTATTTGTTTACAGATAAATTATTCCTAACAATTCGTCTATCTTTGAAAAGATACCTTCATAGCAACCTGATAATTGTTCCAATATTATTTAAAGCGAACCTTTGTATAAAAGGTAGTTAAATATCAATACTTTTGATAACTGCATAAAATATATCTGTATCCCATGATTTCACATTGTTATAAATTTTGACTAATTTTACGATAAGGAAAAGATAACTACACTGATGTTTGCTGGTTTAACACTAAGATTATTAATTAAAATACTCCAGATCCTCAAATATAAATCAAGCAATATTAATTTAAACATTTGTTTCCCTATAGATAAAATAACTGTGTTCGGCATTAAACAATTTGTGGGGAGTTATAACCAGGTTTCTTAGTTCAATATTGTTATTCGCAAATATCATTTCGACGAAAATTTCATCACTAATCCATATCATGTTCTCAAATGTGTGACAAGAAATGTATTGCTAACCGAACGTACTTACACGGTTGGAGACTCTGAGTGACATGACTCAAAACCGATCTCAATGGAGGTGCATGCCCTGTCTTCCCTTAAACCGTGAGATTAAAAGGTGTGGCAACTTGGACCGATGCATGTATGTACCTGGTTCTACGTTGTAGCTGACTGACTGTCATTAAGTTTTGTGATATCAGTTATTTGTTGAATACACGGACTTCAAGTATTTCTGTTCTTAAGCGCGTATTCATCATTTTTTCTTGGTAAATTAGGCCACTTCTGTGCAAACATTAACTCAATGTATTTGTTACCTTATTCGAATTTCCCCTAGTGGTTTTTTGACTAAGTTAATTTGAAATGTGAATTAAGCGCGTCAATGTTCATAATTTGTTTTGTTTTTCAATACTACCTGGCTAAGTTTAATAAAACCAGCGGCCTAAAACAACAGGTTGGAGATAAATAAATATGGTAGCGAATATTAGATAGAGGTGACCATCAACCCCCCCCCCTCAGAGTGCCTATGTTCATATGCATGTTAAGAAGTGCGAGAGCGAAAGCCTCTGTACTAATCGCATGCACAAGAAACAGTACGTCCAAAGGGAGCGGTAACCATCTCCAGTATAGTGAGTATACCTATATGTAGGCTGTAGAATGCGTGAGTGAAAACTTGCGTTACCGGTGTGTATGCAACGTATATTTGCTCCCAGAGCGAGTATACCTATGTGTATGCCAAGGGTTGCATAAGTGAAAAATTATGTATTGCCAGTAAGCATGTAGCCCATACTTGCACTTTTGGTGCAACTCTCATTCCAAGGCTCGGGTTTATCGATTCCCCCACACAATTACATGCACACAGTGGTTTTGTGAGCCTTGTAAAAGGCAATTATTTGCGAAAAAGTCGGTCGACTCCACCGGATAAGGCTTGACCAACCTTAATATGGCTGCAATACCAACATCTGGCTAGATTCCAATCTAAAATTAGAGGTATATTGACCTTCATAGTAGTTGGGGATTGGTTCTTGTTATACTACCCGATGTGTAAACGCTTACATTCTTATAATTAATTGTGAAAATAGGTGGGACGGTGGTTAGTATTCGTTTCTGCCTTAGATTTTGAAGGAATATTTACATTGGCGGATATTTGCAGTTTTAACCATTTTTCTTGACGTGTTAGCGGGATGTAGGTGTAGCATGTTCCGCACAGGATTGTGTTGACCTCTGTTCGCGTACTCAATATACCAACAAATGCTGATCAAATCAACCAATCAAGAATGCGTAGGAGGACAAAAACACTTACAAATAAAGGTAGCTTGAGCTCCATATAAAAAACAAACAATGACACAGTCAATTCGTTTGTGATCCGTATTTCCTTCCAATCTTAGTGCTAGAAATTACATTTTCCAGTAATTATGATGATAATGTCTGGAAAAACCAAGAAAGCTTTACAACTAAAACACGCCACAGTGAACACGATTTACATAAAATCATCCTCCTGAGCTACAAATATCCACCGTCTCATAACCAGAATTCACTTTACGTAAAGATGATGGGTGTTCCACTCAGTTTTAGGCGAATCGGTATTCTGTCACCACAAAGAAATACGTCCCGGTTAAGGTTAAATTCATGTATTAGTTTGAATTGGTGGACAACGTATGATAATATGTTTACACAGAATAATATAAAAAAGTCGGGTTGAACGGCGACTAAGCATATGTAACATATGTCCGAACCACCTCAATCAATAAGGATTTACACCTACATCAACTGTTTCGCCATCCTTCCTAGTACCATTTGCTTAACCTGAAAGTTATTCGGACCTTCAACGAAACGCGGGCAGGACTTTAAGGATAAAAAGTCCGAAACTTGCTACAGACTCATGTCTTTCACCCTTAAAAACTACGTTTTACGGCCAAAAAGCGATATTTAGCGGACTACTGCACAGTATTTATACCCTTTGGTTGGGAGGTGGGCATCTCAACGTAAGTAGAGACAGGCTAACTCTACAGTCGTTTATATAGGAGTAGGTTGAAAGAAGGCCTGGAATGAGAAAGTGGAGATACGGTACTCACTTATGAGATCATCAACTGCTGATCGGAAGATGTAAACTTCTTGGTTGCATCCCACCCCATAGTTGTAACCAATGGTTGATGTTAGGTGCAGTCATATAGTAGATGCACTCACACTGTCACCCTCTAAATACTTGGTTGTGTCATTTCTGGCTTTTTATTCTCTGAAAGCATTTGTTTTTTATTGGTCGTATTTTAATCTCAACTGAAGTTGGAATTAACTCCACCCTTTTGCTTCTCATTTTAACTTATTCTCTGGCAGTGATGCTTAACTTCAACTGACAGAGAGTTATTACCTTGTTTGATGGGATTCATCTGTTACGATAAGAAAGATAAACAAAGCAAATAACTCAGAAATAAGACGACTACTCAGATTTGTTTCGGTAGATAGTATAGTTTAGTGGTTACGTTACTTCGGTGTTCTTTTTCAAGTAGATGCCCCTTTCCATCACGAATGGATGTTATAAACGAGATGAAGTTATAAACCACACTAACATCTATGAATTACGCTTAATGAAAGAAAAGCGCAATACGTTGATCACTGCGAATTATAAAGCGTAGTTGGAAAATGTGTTTGAATTATAACAACAAAAATAGTAAATTGAAAATTATCGTCTTAGTTTAGTGGAGAACGGATTAATTCATAAATTATTCCAAAAAGTGAATGGAGTATCTGGATTGTATCAAAACTATGTATCGGAATATTGTCTTCAATAAAAAGATGGAGAATATGAGGAGAAATATTACATTATTATGCGTGAGAATGATGCACTACATTTCTGAAACTCAAATTGATATTTATTTCAATTATAATCCAGTTCATCATTTGTGTGTGGGCTGTGATATTGCCCGGATGCCCAGACCGAAGCAGGTGGTTTTCCTATGGGGCCACACCCCGAGCCTTTGACCTAAAGGTCTAACCCACAAGGCAGTGGAGCATCGTAAGATGCAGTCCCATGGTAGCTGGTGGCCGGACATTGGTTCGTACGCCATTTGTTCCCGCAGGGTACTGGAGCCCATGTGCACCATTAGTTTGTGATCCGGTTAATGCGCCGGACATTCGCTTTTCGTTCTCTCATTTTCGTTAACAACACCTCCGCCATGAAAAGGTGGTGAGTAGGACTTTCCTGTCAGAGGCTGTATACGCGTGGCCGTGTGAGAGTATTTCGAGAGGGAGGACAAACCCATCCCGCTTTCGGCCATACCAGGGCATTTGGAAGCTGTGGTTGTGTACAAGACTGCCGCTCCTTTTGGAGTACCTATCTGGACTCTGGCCATGCTTCGGTCTACGCCAATCTTACCTTACTTTTCAGTAGCCAACAAAGTGACCGCGACCAACGGATTGATGTTAGCAAGCTGGTTGCAACTTCTTTAGCTAGTAAGTATCGAACCGATCTGGCTTCTAGGCTAGCTACCACTCCACCGAAAAGTATAGATGAGCATTGGTTGCGATTGCATGACGCCATGAAAACGGCGGGTACAGTCAGTTGTGGGTTCGCGAAACGTCCCGCTTATAAGCACTAGGTTTCTTCTGGTTCCTTACAACTCATCAAAGCCCGTCGGTCTACTCCGGGTGACCGTGAGTTTGACCACAAACAAAGGCTGTTACGTAATGAAATTGTGCAAAGCTTGCGTAAGTACCGAGAAGCCTGGTGATCAAAGCGTGCTAATGAGCTGGAAGCAGCAACTGTGTCTGGTAATTACCAGAAGCTTTTCCAGCTCATCCGAGGCACTGGCAGCAAGAAGTCTGGTGTGAGCGTAACAATCTACGAGGATGACGGGATGCCAATCACTAACACCCATCGACGTATTGGACGATGGGCAGAATTTTTCGAAGGGCAGTCCGACTGGCCTGCTGCTCCGGTAACATCGGTCAGACTGTCCCATCCTTCATGACCTGCGACGACTTATTCACCCAACGGGATGGGAGTACGCAATCAACTACAACTCTTGGAGCGCTACAAATAGCCAAACCCAGATGACTCAGTTCCGGCACTTTTTAATACTGTTGGTGACTTTCCGGTTAAGGAACTGACTACGTTGTTTACAAAGGTATGGGAACTAGGGAGTGTATTAACATCACGGAATAGGTCGATAGTTGTCCCTATCTTTAAAAAGGGTTCACATCGTTGCTGTAACAACTATCGGGGGATAAGTCTACTTCCGATTGCGTCCAGGCTATTGGCTTCCGTCATAATTCGTAGGTTGTTCAAAACTCGAGAAAGAATGACTCGTGAGGAGCAGGCTGGTTTTCGCTCTGGTCGAAGATGTATTGATCATATTTTCAACCTCCGCCAAATGTTAGAACACCGTCATACTTATCAAAGGCCAACAATCGTAGTGTTTCTTGACATTAGGGCTGCCTTCGGTTTGTTGAACAGGACTGTCCTCTGGGATTGTCTATTGAAGAAAGGTGTGCCTGAGAAGTTTATTAACATCCTAAAGGCCCTATATACAAACATCTCAGGCAGAGTGAGGGCATACAACCACCTCTCTCCATTGTTCCATTCAAGCAGTGGGGTTAGACAGGGTTGCCCAATCTCACCATTCCTCTTTAACCTTGCCATCGATGACATTGTGGAAACAACTCTGATGAATGTAAGTAATGGTGGTGTGGATCTGTTGCCTGGAGAAAGACTTCTCGACCTTGAGTATGCGGATGATATTGTTTTACTGTGTGATAATGCCCAGGTCATGCAATCCGCACTTAACCAGTTGTCAATCAGTGTCCGTAGGTATGTTATGTGCTTCGCACCTTCGAAGT